TAGTTCACTGTTATCTTGCTATCCTATTTTATTTCTGGAAATTGAAAGTATAATTATTATTTGTACTCAAGAGTTATTCTTTATTTATTTTATATCCATTTTGAAGCAAATTCTATTTCTTTTTGTTTAATATGTCATCTCAATCAGTTTGTTATTAAACATAATTTCACATAACAGTGGTTAAAAGTTTGGCTGCTGACCAAAAGGTTGGCAGTTTGAATACACCAGCTGCTCCTTGGAAACCCTATGGGGCAGTTCTACTCTGTCCTATAGGGTCACTATGAGTCAGAATCAACTCGATGGCAACAGGTTTGGTTTTTTTTAATGCCATAAGAATAGTCTAAGGAAGAAGCAATAGTGACAAAATTTGAAGAGTCTAGAATATGGGGTACTGGGGGGGAGAGTGGTGCAAGCTCTCTTGATATCCAGGAAACTCTCTAAATGATGCAATGAGGCAATATTTAAATTTTCTCAAAGCATACTTATTCCAGACTTTATAGCCTCTTATTTTCACAGCCAATGTTTCATCACTGATGACAGAGCAAGGATATTTAGGGGTTGGCTTTGAATACTCCAATGCCTCAGTCCTTTCGGGTCTTGGGTAATATGAAACATTGCAGTAATTTACCATAACTAAAGTAAAATGTACTAAAGTACAACATGCAGAAATCCAGTTATTAAAATAAAGGGTGAGATTAGCAAAAAGGTTCCAAAATCCATCGCTGTCCAATCAATTCTGACTCATAGTGACCTTGTAGGACACAGCAGAACTGCCCCATAGGGTTTCCAAGGCTGTAATCTTTAAGGGATCTCTCTCAGAGAGGATGGTACCTTTGAACCTGCGACCTTTGGGTTAGCAGCCAATCGCTTAACCACTGTGCCACCAGGGCTCCTAGCAGAAAAGTTAAAAAAAAAAAAAAAAAAAAAACTCATTGCCGTCACATCGATTCTGGCTCATAGCAACCCTATAGGACAGGGTAGAACTGCTCCATAGAGTTTCTAAGTAGCCCATGGTGGGATGGAACTGTCGATGTTTTGGTTAGCAGCTGTAGCTCTTAATCACTATGCCGCCAATTCTCCTCTGCTTGGTTTCACCTACCCAAGGAGAGCTCGTCACATCTCTTGATAGTAACAACTTCCTTCACCCGTGGTCCACCCCTGCAGCCTCCAGACACCGTGTTCATGCATAACTGTCTGGGCATCTTCCAACGCCTCCTTTACATGTGACCACATGCAGCATGCCCTAGGTGGTGAGCCTGCTTCTAGGACCCAGCTCATCTCAGCCTGCCTCACATCTAGTTCAATTAATGGGGCTACAAGTGACCATATTACAAAATAGTAAAATCCATTGTCACTGAATGATATAAAGTCTGTTATAGAGATAGAAACATATGCTGAAAATAATGCTAAGTAATTGACGTGAGTCTAATGGAAAAAAAACTGGGAAATTTGGATGCCAGTGCTGTAAAGACATGGGGCATTCCATAATTTCTCTCCCTACAGCCAAGCAATCAAGAGATTTTTAATTTTTTTCCAACTTCAGCCTTGATAAAGTAATATCATTAACCTAAGTGTAAAAAGTACAGATTATTTTACATGCTAATATTTATAAAATAGATATTATGCTTCTATTTCATTCCCTCCTTTATGGTTTGTCTCACTGAATTAGAAAGGATTTAAAGAGATATTTATTGTCATTGTATGTTAGCCTAAGTGAGTGTTGATCATGAAATGGATGCAGTTTTGTTGTTGTTGTTGCTTGTTTTCTCCTTCAAGTGTGGTAAAAGCAGACCAACAGTGAAAAAAAAAAGCACCTAAAATAAATAGTTATTCTCAAATAATTAAGGTACTCACAAAAAAAGCTAAACATTACAGGTTCACTATTGGAACGGTTGGCGATTCAAGTCCACCCAGGGATACCTTGAAAGAAAGGCCTGGTAACCTATTTCTGAAATATTAGCCTTTGAAAACCTTATAGAGCACAGTTTTACTCTGACACACATGGGGTCACCAAGAGTACGCATCGACTGGACGGCAACTACTGGTGATGGTATGCACAAATTAGTTATATTTATTCCCTTATCTCTATACAATAAAATGTTTCATTTACACAATCTAATAAATTAAAAAAGAAGAAATTTTAAAAAGACATGCGGAAGAGTGAGGTTCATTTTGCTGGTTTTATTATAAACCTTGTAGTACTTTATTATTTGAACTAACAATTTTTATATACTGTTTTAATACATAAAATCTTTTATTTAAAAACAAAGTCAACAGAAAAAAACAAACAAAAATAAAACAACATAAAAAGATAAAATGAAAGGAAAACATACAAACCTAAGTCAGCTAGGCTATTAAGATTGCTATATAAATAATAGTGAAAAAGCCTACTGTATATACAGGATGATATATTGGATAGGGAGCCTTGGTGGCGTAGTGGTTAAGAGCTTGGCTGTTAACCAAAAGGTCAGCAGTTTGAATCCACCAGCCGCTCATTGGAAATCCTATGGGGCAGTTCTACTCTGTCCTATAGGGTCACTATGAGTTAGAATCAACTTAACGGCAATGGGTTTGGTTTGGTTTTGGATATTGGATAGAACACTTTCATTTGTAAGTGAGGAAAAAAACTCAATTTCAGTGATGTAGCAAACATTGTTGACTAAACAGTATCTATTCTTTCCTTTTACCTTTCTGGACAAGATCAGATTTGTTTAAGGATCAATCCCACCCAAATATGACTTAAAAGTAAAGGTTGACCAGTGTTAATTCCATTACCCTTGCTGATGACTATCTTGGTGGTATGTGTGACAACACTGGGCATTGAGGTGTTTAGAGATCTACTGAAAGGTTTCCGGAAAAGGTTTTGTTTTTAAAAAAGATATATAAAAGAATAAAAAAAACAAACAGTCTCTACCTGTACATGTATGTGTATCTATGTGTGATACTAGAACTGCCGTACTGCTGTTGGTAGGTCAAGTAGAAAACTTGAGTTGACTATCCGTTTAACAATGTGCATGCCATTAGTGAGGTAAACAAGGCACCTTGTTTGGGCTGCGTGGTGGTGTGAAAGCCTAATTACAGTAGGTTTAATGGAGGATAAGGGTCAGAGAATTGAAGACAGTTGCATGGGCTATTTTTGAGTAATATTGTTGTAAAAAAAAAAGAGTAGATAAATGGGACATTAGCTGAAAGGTGTGGAGATCGACAGAGGGATTTTTTCTTTAATGAGAGAAATTGCAGAATATTTGTGTGTTTACGGGAATGATCCAGTAGAGAGGGAGAATTTGATTATGAGTAGAGAGAGGAGACAATTGCTAGAGCACTGAACTTAAATAGACAAGGTGAGATAGGACCAAGTGTGCAAGTGGAGGGCTTGGTCTGGAGAGATTACCTGTGAAACAGGCAAGAAAGTAGGGTATATGGGCATAGATGTAGGAGATGACTAGATGCAGTAGTGGAGGCTTGTGGAAGTTCTCTTTTGGTTGTTTCTAATTTCTCCATGTAAAAGGATGAAGTTGTCTGATGAAAGTAAGGATGGGCAAGAACTTGTGGAAGGTTTGAGAAGAGAGGGGCCAGTATGACATGATCTTGGAGAGTGAGAAAATGAATGCACTGGGGAAGCGGAGTATGTTTGCTGCCAACACAGTACCAGCTGCCCACTTGACTTTAATAGCCATGAATTTAAATTGAAACCAGTCAACATAGATAAGGGTGTTTTGTTTTGTTTTCCTCCTGTGACTATCAGCTAGGTGATCAAATGAGCTTGGGAACATTTGGAAGTTTTACAACTGTCCCTCCTCAGAGAGTCACAATGTTGATTACTTAGGGTATGATACTTATTAGTAGTAGGCTCCACCTACTACCTATTTATTAAATATTCCGTAATCCCCCAAAGTGTCTATTATATATCTTTCTTATAAAAGTGTTACCCACGTACTTAGCTTATTTATACCCTACTTTTTAAGTCAAGGAACATATCTTACTGATCTTTTTATAGCGTACATTGCACTGATTCTCAACTAATAAGGTGGACCCAGAAATAGTTTAGGTGGAATTCAGACTAAATATTTCCTTTCTCTTAAACCCCACATCCACTCACAAGTGGAAATTTTTCTGACTCAATCTGACATGGATATTCTTGATTTGACACAAAGGTTGCAGCTTGATTTCTCAGTGTTTCCACTTAATTTTCTTTTATCTTACCACTATGAAGTGGCTTGTATAAATGACCAATTTTTCTATGTTCATTGAGCACCTCCTATGTCAGTCCCTGCGCTAGAAATTATTACTCACATTCTTTCTTTAGTCTTCCCAACAATCTTGTGATTTTTATATATTGGAACGTGGAGGCTCATAGAAGTTGAATAATTTACATAAGATCATATATCACGCACCAGAATGAGGATGCAAATCCAGGCTGGTCTTACTCTAGACGATACGCCTTCTAGTATACCATGCTGCCTCTATTTCTGGCAAGAGTCGTTCGTGGTTGGAGTAGAATCTAAAGTATCTGAATTGTTAATTATATTCAGCGAATCTTAAACAATGAAAATTGAAACATCTTTGGACCCCTAATCAAACTGAATCTCAGGGCACCAAATTCATTAATTTCAGTTATCTCTCTGGCAGCAAAGCTCGAGGCCTTCAAAAATAAGCTAGCTGTTTTCAATATTTAAAATACTGCTTCAAAATTCAGTAGCATAAAGTTGCTAGAGGGCATGCAGGAAACAAACAAAAAAAGGTCACGTTTAATGAATATTTTCTATCTGCTACAATCCTTTAATAGGATATTTGTTTGTGCTGTGTTCATTCATTCATGTTGGCAAGCAAACAAACAAGTTGCCCTACAATCTCTGAAGAGACATCTTTACAAAATTTTCAAGTGATCTAACACTAAGCATTTGTCTTCAAATCTAGAGAGTTCATAGATTAAAGTAGAGATGGAATATCATTCACTTTGAAAAAGCTATTTAAAAAGATTACTCTTTACATCAACTTACCTCCATGACCATAAAACCTTCTGTGCCATGTGAACTCTAAAAATAAAAGAAAAAACAATTTTGACTCCGAAGCAGCTCTCTGAGTTGTGCTTTCAAACATTATTCAACTAACTGAGATGTTAGTTAACAAAATGAGATTTCTGACTCTTTACTATTAAAGTAATATATTTATTTCTCATCTTTGCATTTTATAGTTGTAGCACTAAAAATTGTAGTCAACAGAGTTAGTATAAATTTGTACTACTAAGTTATTATTATTTTTTAATAGAAATAAGAGTTAGCCACAATAAATACTACAATAAAAATTTTCTTTATTATATTTACATTATATATATAAACATTTTTACTATAGTTATTTTTCAATGTCATTAAAATTGTTTTTGTTATATATTTCAATGTCATTATATATTTATCTATGTTTATATTGATAAATACATATTTATCACTGTCATTAAAATCATTAAGTACTAATTATATTATTTTAAGGTGGAGTTCTAGAGTCAGTACAATAAAATTTATGCCACAAAATAAAACTGTATTTTTTATTTTCTTAAAGTTAATAAAAAATAAGATATACAATAAAATGTCCACAGGTCCTTTGTTAAAGTGATCAATATGGATTGATATATGAAAGAATGAGATTCATCTATCTTACATATAATAGAAATGCAACAAGTATTTATTGAGTTGAAGTAATTGAGATAGTTATTTTTAAAATTGATTATTAGAAAATATGTTGTTTTCTGATACAAAACATAATGCAAATCTACCTGTAGGAAATCTCTCTTAATTCTTCATAGTCTTCTTTGAAAGATGTAAATGTAATATTTGTTTGAGCTAAAACTAGATCACTCTTAAAACTGTTTTGTTATCCTTAATGTGACTATACACATTTAGATTATTTAAGTGTTGTTTTTATAACATTGACTAAACTGGCAAAAGATCCATAATATTCAGGAGTGTGCTGAACCTACTCATAACAGCTCTCAAGAAGTGATTAAATTTTAGGAATTTTGTGAATCAGTTTTTAAACACAATAAGTATTCAAAATTAAACTATATTAACTTACAATTAAATGTATTATGTTAAAAACAAAGGTAACAAATACTTAAAAACCCATCACCTTCTAATTATTTTACTACATTTTACTATTATTTATGCTCTTAAGGTTGTTTGTCTATTGTATCTGTTTGGTGGAAATACTATATAATAGAAGCTGTTATACATCTTTTCCACTCCACATTCATTGATATCAAGTTGTTAATTTGAAATTGGTCATGGTGAGAGTATTTAATCTCAAGAAATCAACAAATGCTGCAAAATCTCTAGAGATTATTTTTAAACATTTATCAGCACACCACTATATCAGACTGACTAAATCTTTTTAAAATATTAATTGAAAGTAAAAATGAAAAGAAAATAGGGTCAACCTAATTATACATTCATTTACTTGTTTTATCCATGTGTCATAAGAAAATATTAATTTTAACTTGACACACCAGATTTAATGAAATGAACAAATACATTAATTATGTTTGTATAATTTATGAATACTATGCAAAAGGTGTTCCTTACCTGCTAGACAGGTTGTAAAAGATATCATCACAAGGTGACTGACCAGCAACCACAATTTCATCTTGTGTTCAATAAAGGTTAGGCTCATTTTTCAAAAGAACTTTAGGTTTATGGCAGTTGAATAATAGGAAACACCTGCATTGAGAAGAGAAGGGGAAAGGGGAGGGGAGAAAAAAAACGAAGGAGAGAAGGAAGGAGGAAAGGGAAGGGAGGAGAGGGGAGGAGAAGAAAGAGAAATGCAAAATTTTCATTGGTGTCAACAATAGTATCAATTCTATTTTATTTTCTATTCTTTTTCTTTAAGTTTATTTTAAAACATCTATAAACATCATGTTGTAAAGAAAAGAGTAGACTTGGTGTCAGAAGAATTCAGCATCATTCCAGGAGTGATACAGTATGATTATGATGTGTTTTAATTTTTTCCTCTTTAACAATTGAGTATATTAATATCTGCCTTTTCTATAAATATCACTGTTGTAAACATTTCAATATTAATCATTTTAATAGATTAATTTTTATTTAAGTTCTCATATAAAGATTAGTTTAAAATACGTTTGTACAAGAGCTTTGTAAACTCACATAGATTAGACAAGGATAAATTGTTAGCATTACCTGTTGGTGACTTGTGGAAAATTTTTGCCAGATATGCTAGTTTTTAAATGTTAATATATATTGAGTAATAATATATTTATTCCTCCTCCCCCTTTGCTTCTTTCATTTATTCATTCAACAAAGAATAAACAATCTCCCTTTATGTGTCAGCAGGGGAGAATCTAGGTTTTGTGAGGCCTAAAGCTTTAAAATTTGGGGAGCCTTCTTTAAGAAAGACTACAAAATTACAAACACAAACTGAGCTACAACACTTTGCAGCAGTTTAATTAAAATATGTTGCTTTTACAAATTTTGCAAAAACTCTGACTATATAATTGCTGAGTTCCACCCAGGGCCTGGAAAGAGCCTCACACGTGGAATGTGAGTTTTATTATCTTCATGGCAAATTCACCACTGTAACCAGGCATGTAGATGTGAGGAAACCAAAAGAAAGACTCAGTTTGCCTGCTCTTAAGGAATTCACAGATCAATGTGAACACAGATATGCACACAGATCAGTGCAACCAGATAGCTGTTTGAGACTCACATGCATGTATTTTTAATATTGCAAAAATATTAATGATTTTAATTAACGTCATTGAAAAATGCAGCATAGTGGGAATGGGCCTGACCATGCTAAATAGGACACTACAGTGGAGGTGCCACACTCTTAGATTTAAGTCATTTGGTGCCTTCAGAACCCAGCCATTTCTTCTTACAGTAACTCCAGGAGCACATGTCCCAGGGTATTAGAGTGTGTGGACACAAAAGAAATTTCAACTTGAAAAGACCTTAAATCATGTTTTGAAAGAATATGTAATAACATATAAAACAATCTCATGACAGTGTTGAGAAGTGTAAAGGACAAATTAAGATAGAGTATGAAAGCAAGTCTCAGAGGAAAATACCTACTGCTTTAATGTTTGACATATAAATATATTTAAACATTATTTAAAACTGCAAAAAGGAAGTGCTACTGATTGCTTGCATCGTACTGACAGGTTAAAGAAAAATGGCGGGTCTTTTTTATTTTGTTTTCAGTAATGAATGATTTTGAGGCTATATTTACCACCCCGATTTGCAAGAACCCTAGCACTTTGTAGAAGCTAGACAAAATGCATATTGGTAATACATGGCCCAGAATAAGCAGATTTTCTCTTTCATGTATAGATTATTCTATGGTTCATAAATAATTTATCTCTAGAAAAAGCTGAGCTGAATTCTTAGAGAAAACATAGAGGAAATGGGTCAAATTCACAGCAGGGACCACTTAGAATATCGTTGGAAAAGAAAAAGATATCCAACAGATTGGTTTTTAAACACCAGGATTAATTTATGACCAATTTCCTTCTCTTGGAGATATCTGAGGTGAGAGCAACACACCTGTCTAGACTGTATTAAATAATGTCCTTCAGGAGGCAGAAAAATGAACTAAATGATTGGTGGAAGAATACATTAGCCTTTAATTTCAATAATGTATGTTATCATCAGTATCTAAATACAGGCTCAAGTGAAAATTATTGAAATCTGTACACACTGGTTATATCTTTCTAAAGTTTATCACAGAAATAATGTGCATTTGAGCACTTTATTGGCCTATTGGCTTCTAATTACTCTAATTGGGTTATTCACACTAATTAGAATGATTCCTTTGCCAACAGAGGCAGGTAGAAGAAGCAAGCAGGTAAACTGCCCAAACTGGATCCAATGAAACAATTACTTTTTTAATGATTAACTTAGATAACATATGTGAAAATGCTTTAAAAATTATAAGGTATGTGCAGTTTAATGAAAGCAATTATTGAAATTTAATTAGTTCTCATTTATCTATTAATAAACTGTTATAATTTGAGAACTCTATGTGATGCTCAAAGGAGTTCTGGTGGCACAGTGTTAAGTACTCACCTGCTAACTGGAAGTCAGCGGTTTGAAGCCACCAGCCTCTTTGCAGGAGAGAGATGTGGCAATTTGCTTCCCTAAAGATTACAACCTGGAAGCCCTATGAGTCAGTTCTACTCTGTCCTATAGGGTCACTATGAAATGACAATGGGTTGGTAAATGATTCTCATAGTACAGGAGAAGCCAGAAATATCGTTTGAATTTTGGCCCAATCACCACTTAGCTTGCGACTTTGGGCAAGTTATACAACCTCTCTGACCCTAATTTCTCTCCAGTTTAAAATATGGAAAGAATTCCTATCTTACAGGACTATTTTATGTAAGGGTTGCATAAAATTGTGCATGTGAAATGATTACTGTGTACGTATTCCATAAATACTAACTTAATATTTTACTAACCATAGGCCTATCAGAGCAAGGGGCATGTCTCTTGTTCCTTGTTGCGTCTCTAATGCTTGGCACATAGTAGTCATTCAAGGCATGTTTACCAAACGAATAAATGGATGAATAGAAAATATCCACAACTGTATTCAAAAGCATTTACTATAAACAAACTAAATTTTAACTTTAATTCCTTAAGATAAGGATAGGATGGTAATGACAGGTAACAAGGAATAGCTCAGATATTGTTAGGTATTATACATCACTGCTTATAAATACACTCTAAAAGAGGATGTCTAAGAAGCAATATTTTAAATACTATACGTACTTTATTGTGTGTTGTTGGAAGTCTCCATCCTCCAGTCAGAATGAAAATTTCTCGTTATTTTGAGCCTCTCTGTACTGCACCATGCTCTCTTTTCCTTCCCTTCAAAATGTTGCCTGTCTAAGTAGGGCAGTGAGTCATCACTTTGGCAGCATGTAATTTATTTCCCTTAATCAAATTTCTTGCCAGTCGGGTATAAAAGCATCCTTCACGTCTTGTTCACACATTTGTTTTCTGCTGATCATTTGTTCTATGTGTCACTAGTTATTCCATCATTTCTGACTCCCTGATCACAGTCCTTCAACAGTACAGGAGAGCAGAGAGGACAGCAAGGCTGAGCCTATTCCTGCTGACGTGAAAGAGACTGCACTTATTATTGCTCTCTTAGGACAGAGCACTCAGTAATTCATAGCTAGCTTCCCTGTCCCCCATGGATCTCAAAGTGTTGCAGCAAATGAAGTGGCAAAGGAAGAAAATAAACAAACAACTCTGACAATGATGCACCAGTTAGAGGAGCAGACATTTTTCTTCTCATCAAATGAAACATTAGAATGACCAGAAGCAGGGAGCAGGCTCAGGCTCCTTTCCCATAGGCTGTGCTGTGCTGGCCAACTCCCTGAGCTTGCCAATCTTTAGCGCCCTGTGGCTTCTCATATTTTCAGCTGAAGCCCTTCTCCAGGTACTGTTGCCAGATATTGCATCTCACAACCTATCACAGCTCTATGGGTGTCAAATGACTGGCATATCCCTGACTTTATTGGCAATTACATTAATTTATAAGAAAATTCAATGTCTTTTCTCCAGCATCCATTACTAAATCATTAGGAAAAATATAAACTTCATAATAAGGTAATTTAATTTGACACATTCTCTTCCTTCTTTCTCTTTCTCTTGTTTCACCCTGCTTTTTCTCCCTACCACTCCCTCTTTCCTATAGACAATGTCAAGATTATCATCTGATAATTTTGGTCTATATCTACATGTGCATTTTTCTGCTGTGCAGAAACCACCTGGCTCCACTCCAGTTTGCTCTGGTACCAAAAAAAAAAAAAAAATACCAAAGCACTTGTACAAGGCAAGGTCATGGAAGCTCTATCGATGAATCCAAACTCTCTGAGGAACTAAACCAAATTACTGGGCAGAGGGCTGCGGGGACCATGGTCTTGGGAACGTCTAGCTCAACTGGCATAACATAGTTTATAAAGAAAATGTTCTACATTCTACTTTGGTGAGCAGCATCTGAGGTCTTAAAAGCCTGTGAGCCCCCATGTAAGATACTTCACCGGTCTCATCCCTTTGGGAGCAAGGGAGAATGAAGAAAACTAACAACACAAGGGAAAGATTAGTCCAAAGGACTAATGGACCACAAGTGCCACAGCCTCCACCAGACTGAGTCCAGTACAACTAGACGGTGCCCGTCTACCACCACTGACTGCTCTGACAGGGATCACAATAGAGGGTCCCGGACAGAGATAGAGAAAAATGTAGAACAAAATTCTAACTCACAAAAAAAGACTAGACTTACTGGCCTGACAAAGATTGGGGAAACCCCTAGAGTATGGCCCCTGGACACCATTTTAGCTCAGTAATGAAGTCACTCCTAAGGGTCACCCTTCACCAAAGATTAGAGAGGCCCATAAAACAAAATGAGACTAAAGGGGAACACCAGCCCAGGGGCAAGGACTAGATGGCAGGAGGGGACAGGAAAGCTGGTAATAGGGAACCCAAGGT